CGTCTTACTTGCGTTCACTTTCATTCCCTTTTCTTTTAATGTCCTGTTCATTAATGTAACCATCATTTGCAACTCGGCTGCCGACGACGCAAGTATGACTTGATCATCGGCGTACAAAAGGCATTTGACGGTTAACTCACCCATTCTTAACCCGCATTCTTCTACTTTCAAATTTTCCAAACAACTGTCCATAAATAGGTTGAACAACCACGGGGAAGCCACACAGCCCTGTCTGACACCTTTATGGATGTCAAACCAGTCCGAGTAGGCCCCGTTGATCCTGACACAAGCACTAGAGTCCCTATATAGAGACTTCAATGCCTGTATCAGACCAGCGCTCAACCCAAATGAGTTCAGTGTTTGCCATAACACATCCCTGTCCACTCTGTCATTAGCCTTCTCCAAGTCCATGAACGCACAAAAAACTTTTTGGTTTTTGGCCAAAAACTTCTCGGCGATCATGCGCATGGAAAAGACCTGATCCGTACATCCCATTCCCTTTCTAAATCCCGCTAGCACATCCCAAATTTTTCCGTCAGTTTCTTTCATAACTCTTTCAATTAGTACCTTAGCATACAGTTTTCCCACAATGCTAAGAAGGCTGATACCACGGTAGTTTTTACAGTCCTGCTGTGATCCTTTTCCCTTATATATTGGGACTATCACGGCTTTGCACCAGTCTCCCGGTACCCGCTTAAGTTCCCAACATAAATTAAACAAGGTGTACAGCAGGTCTGCCACCACTCCTTCTCCAGCCCTTAGCATTTCGAGAGATACTCTATCATAACCGGCTGCCTTACCTGCTTTCATACTTTTCATTGCTTTCATTATTTCATCTATACTTATATCTCTATTTATTTCCTCTTCTTTCGGAATTTCTATTTCATTTAATTCAAACGTCTCATCACTCATAAACACGCTTTCAAAGTATTCCTTCCATCTCCTTAAACTCAAAACTTCGTCATTCAGAATACAGCCATTCTGGTCTCGTATAGCATTCATTCTAGGCTGTTTTGAATGTCCCCTGGTAGTTCTTACGAGTTTCCAGAACATTTTAATGTTTGCCTGGAAGTTATCTGATATTCTTCTATCATTCTTATCCGTTCTTTCTTGCTTTTTCCTTTCAACTACTTCTTTTACTCTCTTATTTAGGTGTCTAAAAACTGCCTTTTTCCTTTCAATATCATCATTCATACTGCTAGAATTACTAGCCTTGGTTGCTAGTAAATCTAGCCATGCTTTCTTCTTTGCTTCAACTTCCATCCGTACCTCATCATCCCACCATAACGTGTTATTTTTCCTTTCATTCGTTCTCTTACTTACACCACATACTTCGGTAGCTGCATCCACTAAACCTTTCTTGACATTATACCACACAGTCTCCAAGTCTAAATCATTCATACACAATTCAGCCATACCACTTATATTTTCTCTCAATCTACATTTGAACTTCTCTTTCACACCTTCATCTTGTAACCTCTCTGTTCTTATACGCTGTAACGCTGTGGTAGACACAGATGTCCGATGCCTCCAACGTCTGAAAAGACCATTAATTCGGCATAAGACCAAGTAATGATCCGTCCCTACGTTAGAGCCCCGGTAAACCCTTGTATCTACCACCGCGCTCCTCATTCTTTCATCAACAATTATGAAATCTATCATACTTCTATCATCACCTCTTTCCCATGTATACGTGTGAATCTTCTTATGACGAAAGAAAGTGTTCGTCACAACAAGATTCTTTTCCACGCATACGGCGAGAAGGCTTTCACCATTCTCATTTATACTTTCATCACCAAACGTTCCCAATATCCTTTCATAACCAAGCCTCCTCACCGCAACCCTTCCATTAAAATCGCCTAATATCACAATATTTTCATTAACCTTGCATTTCATTAGCACCATCCTTACCAACTCCCAAAACTGCTCTCGGATATAAGTGGGCTTAGACATGTCTGGGGCGTAGACCCCTAAGACAAACAACTTCTTTAAGCCCACTTTCATTCGTATCCATAGCAGTCTCGGGCTTACACATTCATACTCTTTTACACAATGACCCATTCTTTCTGAAAGGATGATACCGACTCCCTGGCATGCCCGCTCGGTCTCGTCTACACCAGACCAGTACGCGGTATACATGCCATGTGTAGTGGCATCCTTTCCCTTCCGTTTCGTCTCATTCACACATAACATGTCTATTCCTCTATCATACATCATATCGCATACTTCATCCATCTTATCATTCATTCCTCCACATACATTCAATGTAGCCAGACGGGCTTCCGCAATCCACTTTTCGCCCCTCCGGGGGACAGAACGTGACGGGTGGCGAACCTCGTCGCCGGTTTTCCTCCCGGAGATTCTTCGCACCCCTGCCCCATTAAAGGGGCGCCGGGAACTCGGGGCCATTTCATTAATATTTTGCCTCATGGTGCGAAAGTAAGTTGTGGTATTTTTTACGCCGCTACCACACGGCGAGGAACCGAGTCAGTTCTTTCGACTTTGTCGCTCGTTTAGCACCACCCGGGGGACACGTGTAGGGTGGGCCTAGAATTAGGTGGTCGAAGCCTACGGACGCGAGCGACTCATCCCCCATCCCAAATTAGCAATAAATATAAAAAATAAATGTTATACATACTTTACCCCATTTAATGTATTAACATTACATTATCTAACATATACGTCATAGAGTCACAATGCAGATATATTATGGCGCGACTGATTTGGCGTAGGACCACGCTCTCATAAAATACAAACGTAAAATAACAGCTTAATGCTGCTGTTTTTCGTATAGTGAATGTAGAATCGGAGACCCTTTTTAGGGTTCCGTACCTCAAAAGGAAAAGACGGAACCCTTATAGGATCACTTTGTTGTCCGTCTGTCTGTCAAGACCCATTTTCTCAGGAACGCGTGAAGGTATCAAGCTGAAATTCATATCAAATACTCAAGTCTACTGTCCCTTAGAGCTGTCTGTGAGAAAATCAAACTTCTAAGCCAAAGCAATCAAAAGATACAACCGTTTATACCGCGACATTCGCAACGGAATCAAAACCTACAGGGTACTTCCCGTGAACTCAGAATCTTAAAATTTGGTACGAAGCAACGTATTATAGCACAGATAAAGGAAAAATTGTGAAAAGCATAAATTTTTAGTTACATCATATAATAAAAATATTTTTAATAATTTTTTAAACTTATATACCTACGGATTTGTTCGAAACCCTCGGTGCGCGAGTCCGACTTGCACTTGGCCGGTTTTTTTATTGGAAACGATGCATTCCCTCTTGGCCCTCACAGGTGACAACACATCTGCATTTTGATTCTTTATCATGGATAAATGTAAATGTTTATGGGTTAGAGAATTCACTTACCATCACGTGGGACTGTGTGCTTGTTAATCACCCTTATTCTATAAAAAAAAGATCATCCTCTATGACCATTTAGCGGTCAGTAAGCTTTGTGCCCGGTGGATACCTCATAATTTGACAGCGGCCCAAAAACTCCGTTGTGTTGATTGATGTCGTGAAATGGTTTAAAGATTTGAAAGAAAGATTAACGGAGATGACTCAAATGCTGTGTTCGCAGCAATCGTTTTAGAAGTTTGATCTTCTAAAACGATTACTGAACAGTTACGTATTACGAAACAGTTACTGCAGAGTAGTACACTAAAATTGTTTGCCACTTGTCTTGAAAAAAGTTCGGGAGAAACAACCTTGCAGTAGGATCCTCCTTCACCACGACAACGCCTCGTAGCACACCGCCAAGCAAACTATCGACTATTTGGTGACTTTAGACGTGGAATTCCGGGGCCCTGGTCCCTTATAGCCCCGACCTCGCACCTTGCGATTATTATTTATTTCCAAAAATAAAACAAAATATTCGAGGAAAACGTTTTATGGGTGCCGAGCAAGCAGTGGCTGCGTTTCAAAATGCCGTCGAAGAGATCCTAAGGACAAGTGGGCAAAGTGCTTTTCTCAGTGGTGGCAATGTATTGATGTCAAATGACACTATTTTGAAAAGATATAATAAAACTAATAACTTGCTAGTTTGTTCAGTTTTTGATTTTCTAAGAACTTTCAGTGTGACCCTCGTATATAGGCTGTAACTTTAACTCTTAACACGCGAGGAACGGACCGGAAGCCCTATTCTTTTTCATTTTATTCTGTATAGGCCCGTAAAATTTATCTCCGTAAAGGGCCTCTCCTGCTATAGGGATTATTTGCCTAAATCGTCACACTTTTCAGGCAGATCGACAATTGCATTGTAAGATGTTGCGTCTGGATGCAGTTGTCCGTCGGCGATCGGGGTATTTATCTTCTTTATTTATAGGTAACTAACGATCCGCCACAGCTTCGCACGGTATCTCGATAACAACGCCACCTACCGGGTCCAATTGTAAATCTAAGCCATTCTGTAATCAACTTAATCACAAACACAAAATTTCACAATCACATACACACGCACAGAAGAATTATATAAAATACTAGCTGTTCCCTGGGACTTCGCTCGCGTGTTAGGGTTTTTATGTTTTTGCGCGAAACCCTAATTATTTTTCTAAAATTAAAGTAGCCGAAGTTACTCCTTATGAAATCAGCTATCTGCCAGTGAAAGTCCCATCAAAGTCGGTCCAGCCGTTTCGGAGATTACCCGGAACAAACAGACAGACAGACAGACAGACAGACAAAAATTTTAAAAATTGTATTTTAGTTATAGGTAGTGTATTTACTTTCATATGCATTTAGTAAAAAACTGTAATTTTGACATTACAAACAGTCACTTTAATTTTATTTATTTGTATAGATAACGTGCATATATTATAACAACCTTCCTCTTGAATCATTCTGTCTATTGGTAAAAACCGCATCAAAATCTTTTGCGTAGTTTAATTGATCTAAACATACAGACGGCGGGAAGCAATTTTGTTTTATACTACGTAGAGATACTTGTTAGATGCGGAAATTGAAGCTCACTTTGGAAATGTTTGCAACGCACTGTGCAGTGAAGGACATGGAGAAGGCGCAGGTGACCTCGGCGGAGGAGTGCTCGCGCTGGGTGTACTGCGGCGCGCCGTACTACCTGCCCGTGCGCAGCCTCGTGGCGCGCGGCTACTCGCTGCCGGCGCCCGCCGCGCCGCGCACCCGCCTGCACGCCACTCTGCAGCTGCAGCGCTTGCAGCGCTCCGACGCCAACGGCACGCTGCACGCACTGCACCTGCACCTGCATGGTGAGTAGCGCTGCACTTGCTAGTATTTCACGTTTCTATATTTGCACCCCATATCTTCCCGTGGGTGTCGTAAAAGGCGACAAAGGGAAACAGGCAGGAGATGGCCAGCAGCATCTTACTGATAACAGCAAAAATACAATAAAAAAACTGCGGTTGCCAACCCGCTCGCCAAGCGTGGCAACTATGGCAAATACCCCCCAAATGGATAAAGTTACTAAGAGACGGCCCCCAGTCCCCGGCGGCCCCGCTATTCCTGGCTACGGTGGCGACCATGGTAACGGCGGGGCAGGGGGTGCTAAGAATCTCCGGTAGAGGTTCGTTTGCCACCTACGACGACTCGACCTGGCAAAATACAACGCACGCACCCTGAGGACTGACGAGAAGATTGTGGAGCTGGAAGAAGAGATAGACAAGTTACGCTGGCATATTATAGGATTATCCGAAGTCCGAAGAAAGGGGGAGAAAACGGTAATCCTCGAATCCGGCAACTTGCTCTGTTACCGGGAGGGCGACCATCTGTCCCAAGGTGTCGGATTTATCGTCCACAAGTCTCTCGTTAACAACGTTGTAAAGATTGAGAGTGTGTCGACGAGGGTTGCGTACCTTATACTCAGAATCACCAAACGGTATTCGCTGAAGGTCATACAGGTTTACGCACCACCCTCGGCACACCCCGATGAGGAGGTGGAGGAAATGTATGAGGATATCTCTAGAGCCATGCATTCCTCCAAAACTCAATATACGGTGTTAATGGGAGACTTCAATGCAAAACTAGGCACAAGAGAGAATGGTGAGCTGAAAGTAGGGAAATTTGCAATAGGGCAACGGAACCCAAGGGGCCAGCAGCTGGCCGACTTCATGGAGAAAGAGGGACTCTTTATGATGAACTCTTTCTTCCAGAAGCGGCCCCACAAGAAGTGGACCTGGTCTAGCCCTGACGATTCGACAAAAAATGAGATTGACTTCATTATGACGACCAGACGACAACTGTTCAGTGATGTCTCAGTGATCGTGAGGGTAAAAACCGGCAGCGATCACCGAATGGTTAGAGGCACACTGAACCTAAACATTAAGTTGGAGAGGTCTCGTCTAATGAAGTCAAGGCTCCGTCCCCCTCGTGCTCTAATCCAAAGTCCCGAAACCTTTCAGCTTGAGTTACAAAACCGTTTTCAGTGCCTAGAAGACTGCAATGAAGTGGACGATATGAATGACAAGCTCGTGGAAACTGTCCATGCGGTCGGAGCTAAGTTCTGCAAGACCCGCCGCAGAAGAACACAAAAACTCTCCAATCACACTCTTAATCTCATGGCTGTTAAACGGGAGATGAAGCTACATTCTTCAACAGATTTGACAGTATACAGGCAACTGAACAGACAGATCTCGAAGTGCATGCGGCGGGACTTACGCAACTTCAATACAGCTCGTATTGAAGAAGCGATCGAGCGGAACCAAGGCTCCAAAGTCTTTGCCAGAGATCTGTCTGCCAGAAAGAGCCAACTGTCAAAGCTGAAGACAGACTGTGGCAGCATCGTTTCCGGGGCACCTGATTTTGAGCGAGATTGAGAGGTTCTATGGGCAGCTGTACACGTCGTCGTTGGAGCCACACGCGAGTGTGAGTAACGATCCAAGAGCGAGTCTTATCCGACATTATTCCGATGATATCCCGGACGTCAGTCTGAGCGAGATTAGAATGGCTCTCCAGCACCTTAAAAACGGCAAGGTCCCAGGCGGGGATGGAATTACAGCGGAGCTTCTGAAAGCGGGTGGAAAACCGGTACTTGAAGTCCTTCAGAAGCTCTTTAATTCCGTCCTCCATGGTGGCATTACACCGGAGGCGTGGAGCAGAAGTGCGGTGGTCTTGTTCTTTAAGAAAGGCGACAACGCTCTCTTGAAGAACTACAGACCCTTCAGCGGTGCCAAGTGAACTGTCGGTATATCGAAGTGCTGAAGTGTTTGTACAGTAGGGCTACGATGGCTATCCGAGTACAGAACCAGAGTACGAAACCTATCCAATTGCAGAGAGGTGTAAGACAGGGTGACGTCATATCCCCGAAACTCTTCACCGCTGCATTGGAAGACGTTTTCAAGCTTCTGGACTGTAAAGGATACGGTATCAACATCAATGGCGAGTACATCACTCACCTTCGATTTGCCGACGATATAGTCCTTATGGCAGAATCGCTGGAGGACCTAAGCACTATGCTCAATGACCTCAATAGTACTTCCCAACGGATAGGTCTTAAGATGAACATGGACAAAACAAAGATCATGTTTAATGTCCATGTCACACCTATGCCGGTAGTTGTTGGGAGCACTAAGCTCGAAGTTGTTGACGAGTATGTTTACCTGGGACAAATAGTCCGACTAGGTAAGTCCAACTTCGACCGAGAGGTCAATCGACGGAGTCACCTCGGTTGGGCAGCGTTCGGGAAATTACGGCACATCTTCTCGTCAGGTATACCTCAAAACTTGAAAACGAGACTGTACAACTAGTGCGTGTTGCCAGTGATGACATACAGGAACTGAGACGTGGTCCTTCACTGCTGGCCGGATAAGGAAGCTCAAGGTCGCTCAGCGAGCTATGGAGAGGGCTATGCTCGGAGTTTCTCTGCGTGATAAACTAAGAAATGAGGATATCCGCAGTAGAACCTGAGTGACCGACATAGCTCAACGGATTAGTAAGCTGAAGTGGCAATGGGCCGGCCATATAGCTCGAAGAACCGACAACCGATGGGGAAGAAAGGTTCTCGAGTGGCAGCCTCGTACCGGCAGGCGAAGTGTTGGGCGTCCCCCCACTAGATGGAGTGACGACCTGGTAAGATATGCAGGAAGTCGATGGATGCAGGTGGCTAAGGACCGTGCTTTGTGGCATTCCTTGGGGGAGGCCTATGTTCAGCAGTGGACTTGTGAAGGGTTGTAATGATGATGATGATATTTGCTTCAGCTTTTGTAATGCAAAGCTTACAGCAAAGGGTGGAATAATTTGCCGCCGTCTGTCTTTTTGTCCGAATACAATCTGGATGTCGTCAAGTCAAGAGTGAGTAGGCTTTTGTTGCGCTAAGACAGTACGATTTACCATCTAGGGCTCCATAACCACATACCACCGGGTAGGATTGTGGTCAAGTACTGGCTTATAATAAATAAAAAAAATATATTTTGTACTACCAATTTCACACGAGAGTGGGGCAGTGAGGCAGAACATACGAATAGAAGAGTTCGGAAGACAGTTGGCGTTTAAATATGAGTCAGCGAAATAGTACAGTCCGCGAGTGCCGGCGACAAGAACGTCAATATTTTTGCGCTTGTCATATGTTTTCACAATATTGGAACGAAGTTCCTTATCGGGCGGTACGATTTTGGCGGATTGGGGCTAGGCGAGAAAAAGTGTAAGATATTTCCGTCACGACCCCTTCTGCCGTAGCGTAGAGTGTAGACGGCTTTGGCGGCTATAAGGAAGCGAGATGGAATAATATCCATCTCCCTCGCACTTTTTCTTATCTTGCCGTGAAATAAATAGGTATTATTTTATTTTAAATGACGCTTCATTTTAATAAACACTAGTAATTCATTAATTTGTATTTATTAATCATACGTTTATTAATTATACATATAATACGTTTATCAATAATAATATACTAACAAAGAACTTCATTTCAACCGAGTGTTCCACGACACTCACGCATGTTTTTTTATAATCTTTATATATAAAAATTACGTGTCACATTGTTTATCCGCGATGAACTGCTGAACTGATTTCAATGAAATTTTGCACACTCTGTGCAGTTTGGTCCAACTTGAGAGATAGGATAGTTTTTATCCCTATAAGTGACAAACGAATTTAAGAATTTTTATAGGACACAGGGTCGTCGGAGAGGGCACAACAACGTCTGCCTGGTCAGCTAGTTAACCTCTCAGACCTTGACATTTTATTGGACATACTTAGTCAGAACTATGGTCAAGTCAAAGAGTATAGTAGGTCAGGCCAAAGACAATTTTTTTAAAAGATGGTAAATATAACTTAGAGTAAATACTATGTTCTTATCCAAAAATAAAAAATATCAACAATTAAAATATCGAATTATTTGTATGAAGGTCAAGTGAGCGCTAGAGTAACGACGATTGCAAGACGATTTGTCGATAAATGAAATGTTTCGAGAAATTATCAATTACTGTGTAGTGGCGGTGTATGTATATTCATATCATTCCGTGGGTTTCGTAAGAGGCGACTGATCCACTGTACAGTTCCACGGTACACGTACCTTGTAAAAAGGTACGTGTACCGTGGAACAGAAGGTGGCAACTATGACAAGTATCCCTCTATGAAGAATATAGTAGAGGCCTATGTTCAGCGCGAGGTTTTATAGGATGTAACGGTGTTTGTTGTAATAATGACAAGAATAAAATGTGGGAGGAAAAAAAGGCGAACATTTTTTCTAAATTTAATCTCGGTGGAACGCGGATACTCCGTGCGATGTTTAGGGCAGCGTTGCAAAGGTGGGTAGTATTTGTGACAGTAAAATTCTGTGCTCCCCTTTATTTCCATGGCCCATGACTAGCAGTGGACGGAAACTGTAAGGAGAGGGAGGGATTAATTTTATTATTTGAAAAAATATTTTTGTGTATAAAGAAGTCATCAAACATCATCAAACAATTTATTAAACAAAAGTAGCGTAAACAAGTTCAATGGCTAAAAGAGTAATAAATAACAAAACCAAACAATTCTACTGAAAAGAAAAAAAATATTATGTTACTTCTACAACTAAGGCAAATCTAACGAATCGCCATAATTTAAAATTCAATATCTATATGTTAAAATCAAATAAATACTATGAATATAGAAACAAGGACATAGAAACACTTGATTTTCATAAAGAATAAAAACATAAACACTCACACCTGTCACCCAGAGGGGTAGGCAGAGAATATGGACTTCCATTTGGTACGATCCTGACACACCTCTCTCGCTTCCTCAACATCCATATACCTACGCATACACGCTC